TCTCCTCTTAGATGCTGCAGAGAAGTTTCAAACTATTTATCCCTACCAACTTTTGCCTGCCACCAAGCGGGTAATCTTAGAGCATTTTGATTTTTGGTTTAATGCCCAATTTGGTCCCTAAACTTTCTTTTTGGAACTTAGGTCGTCCTTTAACTTCAGAAAGCACCTGAGTCATCCTTAAACTTTATTTTTTTGGGACTCAAATGGTCCTTCTGTCACAGAATTACATACCTGTAACGGTTAGATCTCCACCAATTACCTCTTTTAATTTTCACAAGCTTACGTGGATAATACACCTCACCCATTGATGACATGGCAATATCCAGCCCTGTAAATAAAATCGCAGAGTAACTTGATCAGAAACAGAGCTTTTTCGCTTTTGGATCTGTTTAAGTCAGGTAAGAGCTCGATTAGGATGCAGACGGCGTCGGACTCTTTCGCCTTGAATCAGCTCTTCTTTGACGTTTCTAAGATCTGGATTAGAAACTCCAGTGCACATGAACTCGCCTTGCTGCAAATCTCGTCGGAAACCAACTCTAACAGAGATTTGAAGAATCTATGCCTTAATCTTGAAGCAAGAAATTCCAATTGTAGCTGGAAGTAGTCTTTGCCATTTTCCTGAAAATCGTTAACGCATGGAGCCTCGCTTCGGCGCTTCCTCTTTGAAGGATAATTGCCATTGATTTCACGCACTTTGTTTTTGACAAAATTTTGAATGTACTGTTTTGATCCTCCGACAACGAAAGCTTCCGCAGAACGCCGAGCACCTCTTCGTACGCTTGGAACGTGACGAAATCAAGAACGTCGATTAGAATCTGAACGATTATTCAAGCAAGAATTTCAACGCCATTGAATCGAATGAAATCTGATTTAGTCTCGTCCCTAATTTCGACAATGGATCGGAGCTTTTTCAAGGCGGTGAACTTAAATGGAGAGGATTCGACTGTGTTGAGGAGGAAGACCAGCTCGTCGTGCTTGGCGGAGAATGGTAGAGGCGGAGGAAGAGATGAGGAAGATTGAGTGTTCTGCCAGGAGAGAATGAGTCGCTTGAGGGTGTGATTGGGAGTGAAGTGGAAGCAGTGGACAAATTACATGGTACCTGTTTTTTTGTTTTATTTTATTTAGAGGGTTGGATATTGCCATATCATCAATGGGTGAGGTGTATTATCCACGTAAGCTTGTGAAAATTAAAAGAGGTAATTGGTGGAGATCTAACCGTTACAGGTATGCAATTCCGTGATAGAAGGACCATTTGAGTTCTAGAAAAATAAAGTTTAAGGATGGTTCAGGTGCTTTCTGAAGTTAAAGGACGACCTAAGTTCCAAAAAGAAAGTTTAGGGACCAAATTGGGTATTAAACCTT